TGTTTACGCTCTACACATCCGACTGCTCCCCTACCCATCTCTCAAACACCATCATAAAGTTCGCGGATGACACCACAGTGGTTGGACTCATCTCAAGGGGGGATGAGTCGGACTACAGAGATGAGGTCAACAGACTGACTGAGTGGTGTTCAGTTAACAACCTCCAACTGAACACCACGAAAACTAAAGAACTTATCTTGGACTTCAGGAAGGGCAGAGCAGACCCGGCCCACTCTACATCCACGGGAACTGTGTGGAGAGGGTACGCTCCATGAGGTTTCTGGGCGTACAGATCTCCGATGACCTCTCCTGGACTGCAAATACCACGGCGGTGGTTAAAAAGGCCGAGCAGCGTCTCCACTTTCTGAGAGTGCTCAGGAGGAACAACCTGGAGGAGAGGCTGCTGGTGACATTTTACAGAGCCACCATAGAGAGCATCCTAACGTACGGCACAACAACATGGTATGCAGGGTGCTCAGCTGCAGACAGGAAAGTACTGCAGAGGGTCATCAACACAGCCCAGAAGATCACTGGCTGCTCTCTGCCCAGCCTGGAGGTCACTGCAAACTCTCGGTACCTCAGCAGAGCTGGCAATATCATCAAGGACCACTCTCACCCCAGCAACCAACTGTTTGAACTATTACCGTCAGGCCAACGGTACAGGTCACATAAAACCAGGACAAACAGATTCAGGGATAGCTTCTTTCCCAGAGCTATCACCGTAGTAAATAAGCACAAAAACAATCGAACCTATTCCATACCGTCACTGTCATTATATTATGCTGCTATTCATACTGTCATTATATTAATGCTGCTATCCTGTATATATCGTACTTACTATTGTTTGAGTACTTACGATTGTTTTTTTTTGTCCTTTTATATTTATATTTATTATTGAAACTTGCACCAAGGGAGTGGCACTCCAATTTCGTTGTACTCTGTACAATGACAATAAAAGGCTATTCTATTCTATTCTATTCTATTCTATTCTATTCTATTCTAAATTAGTGACAAATGTAAATATGAAAACATCCTTTCAACCTGTCAGGACTGTTTGAGGTCAGACTTTAAAGCTTCGAATTTATCTTTTCTCCTTTATGATTTTTAAATAAAGTTTCGGTATCCAACAAACAGGAAGCAGCACACAGTGTTCAACTCAGGATTCAGCTTTAGTGATGACATCCAGCAGGTGTCAGTGTCACACCAAACTGCCGTTTGTTGCATCACTTTGATATTCATATACAGTAAATTTCACGCATACAGTATTTTAGGTTTGTCACGTTAACAGCTGTTGATGGGAACACGTGATATATAGTTCTATATTGTGTATTTTGTTGTACAGTTATTTTATTTTCAACTTTAATTTATATATTTATCTTTATCTTATTCTTTCCAGTTAAATTTACCCTTCATTCTAATTTGTGTTGTACAGTTATTTCATTTTTAACCTTAATTTATATTTTATTCCTTCCTAGTTAAATTTACCCTTTTTAATTTTTCATATTTATTTCCTATCTTATTCATAGCCTTTTCTTTTTTGTTTTCTTTAGGTCACGAGCAGTTGTCCAAGCATTTCACTACATATCGTACTGTGTATGACTGTGTACGTGACAAATAAAATTTGAATTTGAATTTGATTTGAATTTGAAAAATTATAATAAATGCTTTACTGGAACAATTCAACCATCACTACATTTTTAGCCATTCTTTCAAGAGATTAACTGATCCTCGAGAATATTTTTAAAAAGAAAATGATTCTAGCGTTACGTAGCTCACTGATACTCAAAGTCCCCCTAATTAACAGAAGCTATAATAATGGAAGATAATTATTAATTATTAAGTGTGACGCATCAGAGTAAACTTAAGATTTCTCTTATTTTGTCAATAACAGTTGAATGAGATTATACTTATATACTCTACACAAGCCTTTAATAGTGGTTTCATGTCATATACATCATGTAGCTGTGACTTTTTTGAAAAAAGGAAAAAAAGTTCACAAGCAATCAAGAAGTACTGTATTTTTCGGATTATAAGGCGCATTAAGCGAAACAAAACAGTCAGATAAGTCAAACTTTACTCAGCTCATTCTTCTTGCTTCCTCCACTTCAAGTTCAAGTTCAAATTTTATTCGCCACATGCAGTGGCAGGTTGCTGGTTGGAATGAACCCGTCCCCCGACCTTACACACACAACACAGACATCACATGGGGATACAAGTCAGAGAATGGATGCATTACAGAAAAACCACTGAAATGTACACTACAATGGGAAAGTACAAGAGGAAAAAAGAGACCTCTACTCATGCTGGGCTACAGGAGGACAGCATGAGAACAGGAAACAAAAAAACTCCTCTGCACAGAAAGCACATAAATGTCCACAGCACAACATTATAGAGCACGTGACCAGCAACAGGGTTGGGTAGGGGAAAGGAGTAATCCCAGGCAACACAGCAGCCATCCTGCCACTGTGCCGACTCTCCAGCGCGAGCCGAGACCTGCTTCGTGAAAAACATTGATTCATTGATTCCCTAACCCCTAACCCGTAACATTGATTCATTAATGTTGAATTCTCTGGCAGCTGCTCTATTCCCATGTTGTTGCAGTATATTAATGACTAACCTCGTGTTGTGGATGGATTATCTCAGTTGTTCTCCTGACTGAAGTTTGGTCCGTTTACAGCATCCTGCCATGCGATTACATTTGTCTCTAACCATCAGGAACACTCAGGTGAACTTTTATCGAGTGGGCGAAAGTTAGCGTTCATCCTCCAGCTTCACTGTTTATGTTATGCTAACATAGCTGTGTTGCTAGCAATCACCTAGCACATGATTATGTACCAGCTAGCCCAACTTCAGTAACCCTACAAACGTCACTGCTGTCAAATTTCCTTCATTTGTTCAACTCAAAGGGAAATTCATTTTTACATTTTTCGTGGTGCATACTGCTGAAGGACTCAGGGATGAAGGTGTCTGAATCTATGTGGAGTAAGTGTTTGTCTAAAATCCACTCTGGCTCCATAAACAGTAGACACCAATTAATTCAATTTAAAATCTGACTACACAAGATTCATCCCTCTGTCTCCCTAATGTGTGACAGGTTGGCAGACGTTGTTTCATGCTTTTTGGTCTTGTCCCTCATCCATAGGCTTTTGGTGTAATACATTTCACTGGTATTCCAGCGCATATATGAAGCCCTACAGCCTGCTCAGAGCTGCTCCCGGCTACAGTGCAGCAGCCGTTGGAGTTAGGTCTGATTGGTGCCCAGAGACTAATCCTGAGGGAATGGAGTCCCCCACTCCTCCTTCCTTTCAGTTGAAGGTAACAGACATGATGTCCATAATACAAATGGAAGAGATCAGCAAAGACTGTAAAGACTCTCTTTTGAATGTCTGGAACACTTTGTGGAGGCCAGACTGGGCTAAACTGGGCAAAACTGGGCCCAGATTTGTAAACTCTATTCCAGCTTTTGGTGTTCTGTCTTGTGCTGTTTTGCATTATGCATGTTTGTCTGAATTAACTGTTTTTTCTGCAACACATCTGAGCCTGCTTGTTTTTGGGTTTGTTTTTGCTTTATATTTTGAAAATCCAAAACAAAATTTTAAAAAAAGGAGACTCAGAGCCACAACCCGTTCGTCCTTTAGCTTTGGTAGATTTAGATAGTTGAAAAATTCGTCATTTTCTGCATCGGATGGATTAATCTGTGACATGAAGCTTCGTTAAAGTCTTCAAAGACTTCTTTGTTGTGGCTCATGAGTAATGCTTTCAGTTCAACCCTTTATAGAGTAAATAGTTCTTTTTTTCTTTTAGTTCTCCAAACGCAGGCTTTGCACTAGAAAATGTTTTCTTAATTCTTTAATTTAGTTCGAGTTTTCTCAGGTTGTTAACTGCATGTTCTTGTGGTGAATAAATAACTTCACTTCGTGCAGGCATCAGTTTAAAATCCTTGAGTGTAATTTCATCAACCTCTCTGTTCCTGCAGTTTCTCTGAAGGTTCTCCAACCTGCTGGGTGGAGTGTTTAACTCACACTGCTGCTGCAGTTTGGCTTTTAGTTAAATGTTAGATGATAAAATAATTCATCTGTTGTTGATCCCAGGCTGTATTTGCATAATTTAACAACCTGAGAATCAGGACCAGACGATTTTTACCGGGTCCTAAAATATATCAAAGCTTAGACGTGTCAGAGCATCTTCTTTGAACGTACATAAAGTGAAATCAACTCTTTCGTTCTGCAGTTAAATGTAAGTGTAAGTTCAGTCTGTGCCGACACGAAGCAGTAAAAAGACCTCTGAGCAGGTCACGTCTTTTCCTCTGCTGCCCCCTGGTGTTCAAACTGTCCATGACTGTCCAACTCTGAAAAAATAAAAACTGTGAAATACATTTTTTATTTGATTCGACTGACAGGAAACATCCTGCGAGAACACTCAGCTGTGAAACTCTCAGGCATCTTTAAATAACAAAAGTAAAAACAGGACAACATGTTAGAATACACAGAAGAGTAAAAGTGAACCCGTACTGCATATATTCAGCACGACGCTCTCTTTAATTTGACTTTATTTCCAACCGCATTTATTAAATATTTATATCGTTACAGGCACAGGTTTAAACGTGTACCTGTACATGTGCACATGCACTTCCACACAGCGCATGGTGTGTTTTTCCTCCAGGCTTTAAAAGTAAAACTTTAAATGTTTGAACCTCAAAGAAAATGAAACATTAATAAGTTTAAATCAGACATCGATATTTATCTGATGTTCCCTAAATGTTCCCTAAATGTTCGAGAACTGATGAAGAGCTGAAAGGAAACTTTGGAACAACAGGAGGTGGGACAGAAACCAGGAAAACAAAAAGAAATAAATGAATAAATATCATCAGAATAATAATGATTAGTGGTGCATCTGTTAATGAACACATGAAGGGAAGTTTCATGTGTTTGTTTCAGGTTTAAAGTTTTTTCCATAAATTTAATTTTCTTTGATCTCTTCTGGTTTTTCTTTTTTATAACTTTTCATATTTTTCATACTTTTTTACACTTGTAAATCTTTTTATTTCTTTTTGTTTATTATCATGTACAATTTGTTTTTCTCCAACATCTGTGATTCTTGCTTTTGAAAGAAATGTTTTCTTGTACATTTTCATGTTGTAACTTCCTGGAAATGCTTCGACCCTCCGGCGCACAGAGCTCCTCCGTCGGGACGTTTGATGATCAGTGTCGACTTTTAATGTGACGTCAGACAGAGTGAAGAGTCTCGATTATCCGAACAGTTTTTTCCTTCGTTTCCTTGGAGAAAGGCGGAGCCCTCGCTCAGCTGTAGCTGTATCCGGGCAGAGGAAGCATCTGACCCTCTTTGGCCTCGAAGAAGGTGTAGGACAGCGTGATGGTGTCCACTCGGGCCATCCGCGGGTCGTTGTCGAACTCGGGGTCGATGTAGAAGAAGACGGGCATGTCCACCTCCTCGTGAGGGTTCAGGCGCTGCTCCTCGAAGCAGAAACACTGCAGACACACGAGCAGAGATCACGTGTTACACGTGTGATAGCAACCAGCTCAGATCACCCGCCAACGCCACGGCTTTACGTGCCGAGAGGACTCGGAGCGTCTCCGTGTAGGGCTCTCTCCCACAGTCCAAACACATCCATGAAGGTGTGAATCTAGAGTATGTGTGTGTTAGTCCTGCGACACACAGGCCACCTGTCCAGGTGTGCCCCGCCTCTCAACCTCCTGCTCACCTGTCCAGTGTGGCGAGTGTTGTGCCATTGATTGATCATGTGACTGATTATTGATTACCTGGATCTTGTTGAAGTACTGTCCGGCGTCAAAGGGCACCACGTTGTAGGTGGAGATGCCGATGATCGGTTTGTCTGTGGGGTTCTTGGCTCTGTAGAACGCCAGCGCCGTCTCCCCGGGAACCACCTGGGGACAGAGCGTGTGCGTGAGGAAGAGGAGGAGGAGGAAGTGATGAAGGATGGAGACGGAGCGCAAAGTCTTACGAAGATCTCCGTCTGCTGCGGCCTGAAGTTCCACTGCATGCTGGCGTGAGTGTCGGCGTTGAACGTCACCTTGATGACGCGCTCCTTCACCGGCGTCATTGTCGCCACCTGCTCCATGTCGTGTCCGGCCACCGCCGTGCCGCCGAGCCCTGATGCCTGGCGACAGAAGCTGAGCGTTCAAACGAGCTCTCAGCAGCTGTGTGTGTGTGTGTGTGTGTGTGTGTGCTCACCTGGCAGTAGAGTCGATACAGCGGCACTGCGGCGTATGCCAGGCCGATCATTCCCACGCCGGCTGCGGCGATGTAAGTCAGCGCAGTCTTGTTCCTGTTCCTCCACTCCTCCTCCTGACTCTGGGTCTTCCTGCTCCGCCCCCGACTGTGGAGGCGCTGCGGACGCCACCGCCACAGGAAGTTCTTAGCCTGAGAGCGCAGCCCCCTTGGAGCGCCACAGCGAAGCGTCAGGACGCATCGCGTTAATACCACCGAGGCCTGAGGAAGGCAGAGGGGCGGCCGCAGCAGCAGAGGCAGCAACATGGCTGCAGTCAGTCACACCTGAGACTCACCTGCACGACAATCAGAGTTAGTGTGGAATAAACAGGAAGACGTGTTCTCCACATGTTTAACTCGTCAGGTGACAACAACAATGAACCAAACTCCATTCAAAAACGACACGATTTTATGCCACCATGCCAAACTGCACCGACTATTCAGAGTTCACAGAATCCTTTGAATGTTGGTGACTTTATGTTGACACGTCACAGTCTGTAAACTGAGCTTTTATTTTATATTCACCTGCACTCTACTTCAAAAATGTGCACATTTAGAAACTTTGCCTGGTAACAAAAGTTCTTAATGTGCTAAAAGTTTATCAAACAGCTTTTTCACATTTTTAAAAGTCACTCTTTAATTCCGCACATTGCACACTGTGTTAGTGTTAGCAGTACACCGACCCCCAAACTACATTTACAAAAGGTTCACTTTTAAGACACTTGTCTTACAAACAAGGTTTGTAGCTGATTTAACCACAAAGAGCAGAAACGTTATCGGGGATCATCAGCTTCACAGATCTGCACTCAATAAATCTGATTTTAAATAAAGCGATCTGACAACACACACACACACACACACACACACACACACACACACACACACACACACACACACACACACACACACACACACACACACCTACCTGCAGCGGCTGACTGCACACGTCACGCGGATCACTCACCTGTTGTTAAACTCTAACTATGGACTAACTACAGAAGCTCAGTGGGAGCTTCATGGTTGACTTACCTGTGGAGTTTCTTCGGCATTCACCTCTGCTCAGTTACCAAACATGATTCCGGAAACACTTCGGTGTAACACACAATGTGGTCCGCTCCGCCCCATAGCAACAAGCGAAGCGTTCCGCCGGCAGAGTTCCGCAGGGTAACGGATCACGTGACTGAATTTATCCGCTGAGAAATGTTGTTTAACACAAACTTCACTGTAAAAATACCAGAATAACAGGAGTCGTTTGTAGTTAATTGGTTTTCATTAAAAGCACCTAAAATATATATAAGTTAATAAATAAATAAATAAATACTTTTAAAGAACCAAAGAGAAAATTTGACAGAAATAAAATAGATTTTACATTTAAAATGTGATTTTAAGGAAAACAGCCAAAATATGCAAATTAGGAACATCTTCAGCTTGGCCTCCAACAATCTCTAAACTATCTCTTTCACTCTTGCTCCTTCTGTCTGAAATCACCGCTGATATTTAAAGCCTGACAGACCTGCACTAGCGCTGTACTCATTTCCATTTCCCAGCACGACAGTCCAGAGACCACACTGAGGTCTCAGTATAATATTTCCCTTCCTGTTGATCGACTCTCTGGCTTAAATAAATAACTTAATTTAATAATTTAATATTTAACTTAATTTAACCTAAGTTAAATTTAAGTTAAATCCTGTTAAATCCTCTCTTAGACGTAGGCTGCTGGGGGATTCCCATGATGCACTGGGTGTTTCTTCTTCACTCACTATGTATTAACAGACCTCTCTGCATTGAATCATATCTGTTATTAACCTCTGTCTCTCTTCCACAGCATGTCTTTATCCTGTCTTCCTTCTCTCTCCCCAACCAATCACAGCAGATGGCCCCGCCCCTCCCTGAGCCTGGTTCTGTCGGAGGTTTCTTCCTGTTAAAAAGGAGTTTTTCCTTCCCACTGTCGCCAAAGCTCTATGAATGTTGAGTTGTTCTCTGTATGTATTTTTTTAGGGTCTACCTTACAATATGAAGCGACTGTTGTTGTGATTTGAGCTGTATAAATAAAATTTAATTGAATTTAATATTATTAAAAAAATTGTAAAAGTAGTCTTTTGTAGGGATGGGTACCGGTGTCCGGTGCCATGATGGCACCGGTTCTGACATAAACGGTAGTAACCAGACCGAAAAGCAGCGCACATTTCGGTGCTTTATTTCGGTGCTTTTTTTTCCTGAGCTGTGATACACTTCTAGCCAATCATTTTACGTTTCCCAGGATAGTAGGCGGGGCCAGGTACGTACGTTCAGTTAGAGCAGAGCTACAGATTAAAAATGTCCAAGGCGAAGCGGTCAAAAGTCTGGTTGTACTTCACAGCAAAAGATGCAAACTCAGCAGCAACAAGTGCTTTAAGCTGATACTGTGATACTGTCAAAGGAGGCAACACCTCCAATCTGATGAAACACCTGGCGACGCATAGCGTTTTTTTAAAAGCCGAGAAATGCGCCGTATTTGATAGCTTGCTGCGAGACCTCACACTGTGCACGTTGGGTGGGTTGCCAGTTATCGGACCCGGAGCAACATCCCCCAAAAACCCGAAGAATAGAGTCCTGGCCCCTAGCCCTGCCAGTGTAGCAGAAATGATGAGGATGATGATGCAGCAGCAGCCGTTCTTCTCTGCGTGAGTAGCTTCATGTTGTTCGTGTGTAATTTACGTTGAGTAGGCTAACCACGTTATTACATTAATGCATGTAAGGTGAACTAGCAAACATCATCATAGCTACATGCGGCTGTCTTCTTGTTTGATGGCAGATGCTCCCTTCACCCTGGCCAAAAAGGCTAAAAAGACCAAAGAAAAAGTGGGAAACAGTTAAACATGAGAGGTTTTTGGACAAAGTTTGTGTTTTTTTTTCATTGTTTAAGCACTGCTTCCAGCCAAGAGTGATACCATATATGCCCCATAGCTGCAGAAAAGGCTAACATTGTTATCTTTTTACAAAAACAAATCAAAACAGCTGAATATGGGAGGTTTTTGGACAAAGTTTGTGTTCTCCATTCTTTAAGCACCGGTTCGAGCACCGTTTAAGCACCGGCACCGTTTCAAAAGTACTGATTTGGCACCGGTATCGGATAAAACCTAAACGATACCCATCCCTAGTCTTTTGCATTGCAAGTTTTTTATTAGTGTGTGCTCAAATGGCACAGTCGGACCTGTCCAGGGTGTACCCCGCCTCTCGCCCAGTTTCATCTGGCACCCTGAATTTGATCAGCAGTCATGAAAATGGATTGTTTTAGTTTGAACACTATGATAACAGCTTTGAGCTGATAATGCATTTGTTCTGATGACACCGCTCCTGAAAATAAACTCTCCTAGCAGCAAATATCACAACTACAACAGGTAGGTTTTGTGCAGTTGGCAGTAAACTTAATGTCATACAAATTAATTTTTGTATGACTCATTTAAATGTCCTCCTGAACGTGAAACTCCTACAAACACACAGGCTGTAACACCAGCTACAAAAATACCTCTGCTCACAATTTTCACTCACAAACTGACTCTGAGCCTCTTTGTTAGGTTTTTGTTTGGTTTATATGACCTCCATAAAACACTGGCACGTTCGAACATGTGTTCTAACCCGTTTAAGTAAGATCAGCGTCTTCTGCAGTTCTCAGCGCACGGCTCTTCTCTTTTCCTAAGTCCTTATCATATCTCCTACCAACTTTTCCTTGACCTCAGTGTTTTCATCGAGGTCAAGGAAAGCAGGTTAGGAATATGAGATAGGAGGTACTTGTGGACACCCAGAGGTTTATTCCAAAGTCCTGAGCAGTGCCACATGAGACCCTTTAAACAGCAGCTCCATGTTTCTACAGTGGATCTGTGGCTATATGAGCACATTTTTATTGAGCCAATGTGACTGTGATGAACAGAGCGATCAGCTGCACTAACCACTGCTGCTCAGAGAAACCTGACGGACTCGGCTGAATCTTCTTTCAGAGACAAAGAGGACGCAACTGCAGCTCTGCTCCCTCACATGTTTACTTTCACTTCTGGAAAATGACATTGAACTAAATTGAAAACATGTAGGCCTACAGGCAGAGGCGGAGCAAGAAGTGGAATGTCTTGCTCTGCCTCTGCCTGTACATGTTTGCATTTCCTGCTTCTCCCATTAGGATCAGCTGGTTTGTAACCGCTAACTAGTGTAGCAGGAGTGGATCCTGAATTTACACATTAATGACGGCGTCAGGGGATCAGGAGAAACTCAGCTGTTTTCTCTGAGCTGAAATGATGCTTGAAGTTTAAAATGTTAGAAAGTCATTCTTGAAACCTCTGAGTTTTTCTCTCCTTTCAGCCTGCTGCAGGTTACACCAGGTTAAAAGCACATGTTCACCTACATTTCTGTATTTTTATTATGTAAAAAAATGTAAATATACTTTTATGTTCATATGTATTTGTATTTTCTAATTAGAGTTCTTAAATATATACAACAATAATATAAATTATTACAGTATATTATAGAGCTGGGCGTTAGAACGATAATGATATGTATTGCGATATAACTTTTTCTCGATAGAAAAATTAAACTATTGCGATAGACCTCGCCGCTCTTGTCCTCTTAAAAAAAAAAAAGAAGAAAAAAAAAAAAGAACAGCCAATCCAAATTAAGTAGCGCAGAGCCGAACCAATCACAGCCGCAGCGTCACGTGACTTGTTACGTACAGCACAAGTGCCAAGCCGCACATGTGTATTTGTTTGGGAAGCAGCCAGCCACCGTACCGCCCGGGTAATGGAGGAAATGAGTGTGCTGACTAGTGATGGTAAATTTGATTCTTTTTACTGAATCGAGTGTTAATGAGTCACTCACCAAAGTGAATCGGATTTTTTGAGTCATTTGATTCACTGAGTCAGTTGACCAGAGAGTGCAAAAATTTTACATTTTCACTCAAACTTAGTTTGTTTCCCTTTTCATGTAAATCCCACTGCTAAGATGAATGATTAAAAAAAACAACAACTATTTTATAGAGAAAAAAGAGCAAAAACATTTCTAAAATTAAGCAATTTCCTATCAAAATTGCTTAATAAACATTTATTTTGTTTATTTGTATTTCATTAGTATTTTCCTTAAGTGTGTCAAATATATATTTTCTCATCTAAATGTCCACTGCGCTGTGAGCCAGGGGGCAGTAATGCACCTTAACATTGGTTGCCAACCAAGAAGAAGAAGCTATGAGCCAGGAGGGGGGGGGTGAGTGAGTGATTCGTTTGCTCGCTCTATGATTCAGCACAGGAGGGAGGGGGTGAGTAGCTCAAATGTGTTGTTAGCTTGTTAGCAGCGCGATGCTACTCTGAACCGAGGAGCTATTTTCTTGATGTGAGCTTCTACTCAGGGTTTTTTCTTCCAGTTCAGAGCGGAAATGCTTTTGTTACGAAACTGGCTGTTGTTTTATCCCCACAATTTTAATTATAAGCTAGATATATTTCTACTAGGGATGGGTATCGTTTAGGTTTTATCCGATACCGGTGCCAAATCGGTACTTTTGAAACGGTGCCGGTGCTTAAAGAATGGAGAACACAAAATTGGTCCAAAAACCTCTCATGTTCAGCTGTTTTTTGTAAAAAGATAACAATGTTAGCCTTTTCTGCAGCTATGGGGCATGTATGGTATCACTCTTGGCTGGAAGCAGTGCTTAAACAATGGAAAAAACACAAACTTTGTCCTAAACCTCTCATGTTTAAGTGTTTTCCACTTTTTCTTTGGTCTTTTTAGCCTTTTTGGCCAGGGTGAAGGGAGTATCTGTCATCAAACAAGAAGACAGCAGCATGTGGCTATGATGATGTTTGCTAGTTCACCTTACATGCATTAATGTAATAACGTGGTTAGCCTACTCAACGTAAATTACACACGAACAACATGAAGCTACTCACGCAGAGAAGAACGGCTGCTGCTGCATCATCATCCTCATCATTTCTGCTACACTGGCAGGGCTAGGGGCCAGGACTCTATTCTTCGGGTTTTTGGGGGATGTTGCTCCGGGTCCGATAACTGGCAACCCACCCAACGTGCACAGTGTGAGGTCTCGCAGCAAGCTATCAAATACGGCGCATTTCTCGGCTTTAAAAAAAAAAACGCTATGCGTCGCCAGGTGTTTCATCAGATTGGAGGTGTT